GTTTTATGTTATCAGAGGGTCAGCTGATATTTTTCTCTCTAGATCCTTTCTAATAGTCTTATTGCTAGGGCTACAATATGTTTTTGCCAGACTGTCAACTCTAATGGAGATTAAGTAGCTTGCCCAGCTAGATTTTTATTTTTTTAAAAAAGAAGCATCAGTGAACACTTCTGGCTTTCAAAAGCATAATCACGTAGAATGGAAAGATTTCTGAAGACCTGATTTTGGGAAATACAAATAATAAAATGTGAGGTATATTAATTTCCATTAAATAGTTATTCCAAATTAAACATTTATTTTGGTCACATTGAACTTGAAATATAGCTTCATAAATTTAACAGAAATGAGAAATCATTATGTACAAATTAATTCCTCAAAGACTTGAGTAACTGAGGTTGCTTAATGAACAATTTTTCTGAATGGCGTAAAATTATGCTCTATAACTGTTCACAAATTCACACCTGATTTATTCTTTAGCCAATATAAGTAAGACATAGGATAAATTCCTCCATCTTGCGATTTCTTTTATTGATCAAAGTCATCTGACAACGGTTTAACTGAGAAAAATGTAAATACAAGTAAACCAATAAGATATGGTCAAGTTTTGCAAGCACATTGAGGGAAAAACCAGGACACTCAATTGTTAAAAGGATGCCAAAGGTAAGAAGAAAAGGGTGGAAACACTCATTTTATGTGCTTGTTGGGGAATCAGATAATAAGCTTTCTTGGCTAGGGACAGAAGAAAGAGATTATCTAAACATCAAACAATACAGCACAATTCAAATGCCCACTGAATTCATAATTCTACTCCCTCATTTAAGCATGAGATTAAATAATTCATATAAAATACTTAGTGAACAACCACTGCTGTGATGTATTTATATATTAATGTTTTTGTCCCCAGAAATCTCCATGTTAACTTCCAATAAAAAAAAAACCTGAATTTTATAGTTCTCAAAGTCTTAAGAAATTCATTTTAATTTGAACATTATAGCATTAGTGACATCTGGTGGGAAATGGAGAAGTTACAATGTAGCATCATGGAATGGCTCTGATCTTTCATGTGTAGCAAATTTAAGAAAAAATTTACATATTAAGTAACCAAAAGAAAACAGGTTATAAAATGTGAGCAGCCGCAGCTCACTAAGCTAATCTTCCGCCTGCAGCAATGGCACCCTGGGTTCTAGTCCCAGTTGGGGCACCGGATTCTGTCCCGGTTGCTCCTCTTCCAGTCCAGCTCTCTGCTGTGGCCCAGGAGTGCAGTGGAGGATAGCCCAGTCCTTAGGCCCTGCACCCGCATGGGAGACCAGAAGGAAGCACCTGGCTCCTAGCTTCAGATCCAGCAACAAGGAGGCTGCAGCGGCCACCTGGGAGATGAACCAATGGAAAAAGGAAGACCTTTCTCTCTCTCTAATCCGCCTGTCCAAAAAAAAAAAAAAAAAGTGAGGATAGGGTCCTGTGCCGTGGCTCACTTGGTTAATCCTCCGCCTGCAGCGCTGGTATCCCATATGGGGGCCGGGTTCTAGTCCTGGCTGCTCCTCTTCCAGTCCAGCTCTCTGCTGTGGCCCAGGAGGGCAGTGGAGGATGGCCCAGGTCCTTAGGCTCCTGCACCCCCATGGGAGACCAGGAGGTGGCACCTGGCTCCTGGCTTCGGATTGGTGCAGTGCTGGCCGTAGCGGCCATTTTGGGGGGTGAAACAATAGAGGGAAGACCTTTCTGTCTCTCTCTCTACTGTCTATAACTGTCAAATAAATAATTTTTAAAAAATTTAAAAAAGTGAGGATAACAATTTTATTTCATTAATATTCTTTGAGTCTGTATTTAAACATATGTAGGCGGTTAATGAATACGAGAAACCTTAGTGCATTTTAATAAAAAATATTTATTCAACATGCTAATGTTTATATAGTAAAAACATGATTTAAAAGAAGTATGGATCCTTTATGCTGTTCTGAATCTCTTCTTATGCACATATGCCAAAGAATCTCCCATCCCAAGCTTTCAGATCAAAATTCCCCCATATCTCCTCAAAGAAAGTCAGTTGTTCTTCAGAGAATACGGTACTGATGTAAAATTTGGAGACACATCAATTTGAGATACTATAGATGGAGACCAAAAATGATGAGTGAATCCTAAGTATCACAAAATCAAATGCTGTCAGCTAAGGAGGGTTTTGAATATTTGTGACCAAAAGTGGAAGTGTGATCTATTATAAGATTGGTAAACTACAACTCTCAGTTCGAACCTGGTTCACTGGTTTTGGTTACCAGAACACAACCATGCTTGTTCATTTTTATATTACCTATGGCTACTTAAAAGCTACAGTGACTTCAATAGGTGCAAGACACTGCATGCTTGCAAAGCAACTATTTGTTTCTTGAACATTTATAAAAAGTTTGCCAACCCCTGGTGCATTAGATTACTTTCATTAAATATCCATATGCTTCTCCTCTAGTCTCAACAGGCAGAGTACAGTCACCCTATCTGCGATTCTGCATCCCTGGATTCAACCAGTGGCAGATCAAAATTAATTGAAATTTTATGCATACTGAGCACCTACAGGCTTTTTCCCTTGTCATTATTCCCTATATAACACAGTGTAATAACTTGTATTACACTGTATCAGGGATTACAGGTAACCCAGAAATGATGTAAAGTATACACAAGGATACAAGTAAGTTAAATGCAAACACTGCATCATTTTGTAAAGGGAATTGAGTATCTGTGACTTCTGGTATCTTGAAATCAGAATCCTGAAAGGTAGTCGGGATAACTGGACTCCCTTATCCCATAGAAGTTTGGCTTGGTTATAACTTATTTGATCACTGGATAGTCAGTGTGCAAATTTTAAAGCCAAGCCTTAAGATTCCTATATAGATGAGTGCATTACGACACAGCAGATTAAGCTGCTGTTCAGGACCCTGCATCCACCGCACCAGAGTGCCAGTTCAAATCTCACCTCTGTTTCCTACCTAGCTTCTTGCTAATAGATCCTGGAAGGCAGCAGACAATGACTCCAGTGCTTGGGTCCTGCCACCCATGTGAGAGACCTGGGTGGAGTTCCTCGCTTTGGCCTGGTCCAGCTTTGGCTGTTGCAGGCATTTGGAGAGTGAATCACAGATGAAAAAGCTAGGGGTGGGGAGGTTACTGGCTAGCCACTGACACTCCAATGGTAGAGTGAAACCTGTGGAACAGAACCACCCTAACTGACCTGCAGACTTGCATGAAAAAATAAAAGATGCTTACTGTTCGTATCTTAACTCTAAGATATAGTTTGACACAGCACGTCAACTTACACAGGTGATTGTTGTACCTCTGCTTTAGCATTCCCACGGAGGTCAACTTCTCTGATGACACAGGGAGAATCCTGAAGACCAGTTGTGGGTTAGTCCCTTCTGGACTTTACTTCATAACTTGATGGGCACAACTGGAGTAAGGTTTCATTCCTCTACCTATGGTAAGCAAAACTTTGTCAGAGTCCGGGCTGGACCTAGAGGCCACCAGACTCTGATTTCAGCCTTTCCTTTGATTCCCTCTGCTAGCAATTCAGTAGCCAAATTTAGCTGTTTTCAAAGGAGAAGCCCAGCTCTTCAAGAAGCAGTACTATGAAGTGAGCTGGAGGCAGCTCCTACCATTGAATGAATGTTAACTCCTAAACTTTGTACTGCAATAAATGATGAAAGTATTAGGATTATGGTCAGTTTGCCAAATAAAGGCAGAACCAGTATTTCAGTGCTATCAGTAATGTGTGACAATGTTTCTACTGGTGTTGTGGGGGAAGGAATCACATTTTATTGTCATTATTCAACAAAAGGGTATTTAATGGTTTTTGAAGCAGTCACTACTCTCTATATTTTCAAATATATTTTCTAAAAATAGGACCAGAATTTTCATCTCCACATTTTTTACAAAGGCTCTATTTCTGCTTTCCTTCTCAAATAATATTTCAAATGCTAGAAGTTACAAACTAAATTCAAATTTTGTTTAGAAACCTAGACTTTTAAGTATCTCTAATTAAACATCACTTCAACTCGTTTTTCTTATTCAGGAAAAAACACTTCTAGGTGACCCTTTCTAGCCTCCTGGACCTCATTAAAGAGGCTTTAACAACTCATATAAAATGGGGGTTCCAACCATAACAGCATTTACTATACCTATCATCAAATATTGGCACCTAGTTGTCCAGCACTGAGATGAAAGAACAGACATTGCCCTTTATTGTTAAGTACACAAATGGGTAAGAGACGTTTCATCTAAGTGAGATAACAAAAAACTACAAATTAATGAAGCTGTTTGATTACTTCATGATCTTTTCTCATACATTTTCCTGTATCTTTTAAGATCTCAAATTTTAGAGATGCCAGGACTTTCAGTCATCCTGGTATTTGGCACGCAATGTTCTGCATATTAATAGATGTACAATACGTAATTTTTGAATGAATGGATTCAGACTATGTATACATATTTAATAAGTGATAGTTAAATGAGCTAACAAAAAGATCTTAGAACACTGTCTACCACCAAGCATGAAATAATTTGAATAACTACAACATAAGATTTTAGAATATAAATTAGAAAAGGCATTTTAGAAGTTTGCCTTAAACTTGGAAAAAGTTGTCAACTAGATACAAAGAATATCCCTAATGATATTACCAATGAAGGAATAAGCATGGTTTTAAGTACATAAGGAAAATTATGCTGCCAATAAAGCAAAGATAGTGGAAAAGCACTACAATCTAATATATGCTTAACTAAATTAATTGCAAATGACATCTGCCCTATTATAATGAAACTTATTTTAAGGTCTACTGTTATGAGAGGAAAGAGGTCTGGGTATAATCAAAGCTTATCCATTAGATTCAAAGACTTACTCAACTGGAGAAATCTTAGGCCCTACAATCTAGTAGGCACAAGAAACCATTTTTTATATGAGTACTAAATTCATCCCAATGACCATTAAGTTGCATTAACATACTAATAGCAAACTATTTTAAGACAAATTTAAAACATACAAATTTAACTTTATTTCATCATTGTCATTTTCGGCTTGATTTTATAAAACATAAAAAAATTTAAAAGTTTTGTATCACAGGAAATTAAACAGTAGAAATATTCATTGCTTCATGGGCTGGGCTCAACTTACATAAATTAAAATAATTAGAAAGCTTTTTCAATACAGAACTATACAGTGAAATAAATGACAAAAGGATCCAATAAAGCAACATTTTCTTTACTCTGGGATTACTAGTTACTTTCAGGATCTAAACAAAGAATCTGAATATTCAGACTTCTTCTCCTGTATTTTATGTTTATGTGTATCTCCCTATCTATATTCTGAGTCAAGCTACTTGACCAAAATGTCTGATTTGGTTAAGTATTTAGCTTCATAACAAAGGTTTTTCTATCTACAGTTACTACCTTGAAAGAGCAGGCATTACAATGCTGATGAAATCTGCTGTTTCTTTTTGCATGATGTGCAATTAATGTTAACTCTATGATAAGTCAGATACCCCAAAAATGGAACAATTATGTACAGTTCATTAAAGTATAATGTTGGTTTTCTGGATCTAAAACTTAACCAATGAAATAAAACTTATCAACTACTGTTGACTTCAGGAAAAACCACATTTGAGAATTACATTATTTTCCTAATGTCTTCATCAGTCATTGACAGGAATTTTGTAGGCCACCATACTATTTACTTTGTGGATAGTTGTAGTAAATGAACGGAGACGGACTTCCTCAGAATTGGTAATAAACTGTGGTCCAGATTCTTCCCATTTTTCAGGAACAACCAAATCTTTGTCTGTATAAATCAGTAGATCAAATGAACCTAAATTGAAGAGAAGATCATTAAAGGACATTACTTTACCAAAGTAAAATCACCTTTCCATTTTTAACTACTCCATGTTAATAGTTCACCCTGGTCTCCAATCACTGCTTTATTTTCCTCAATGGAAATCTACTTTATTTAATAGAAGAAAACTACTGGACTCTTGTATTTTATCTTATGGGGAAATTCAAGTTTCTTTTTCATTAAGGAGAAAACCATTAAAAAATACTTCCAATATCCATGTAGTCATGAGAAAACATGAAAAAAAGTTAATATCTTGGTTCTACCCCTGGGGTATTCCAGTACCCAGAACAAGGTCTATGCAAATAGGAGGTATCTGGTAAATATCTGATGAACCAACTAAGATTGAAAAGGAAGACTTAATTATAGCTATAGTCTTATTATGTAAAATAATGTACAGAAAATAAAAATGTTAAGAATTTTTATTTCTTTTGGTTTCAGCAATTCCAAATTTTCCAGAAAGCAATTACATTACTTGTACAACATAAGGCTTCTCCTCCCATTTATACCATACCACATTGATAATTAAGAAAAAATTGAATGTAGGGGTGATTCTTAAAGCAAGAACATAGCCTTTGTTCCAATAAATTTAAGTCAATGAGAAGTTGTATTAATACTTACATGAAACTTCCAATAGTGGCAGAAATGTCACTGTAGCTGTGATTTGTCTGATCACCGAACGGATTTCATCCTGGATAACTTTCTGAGACTTTTCTCTGGGAGCACTATCAAAGAACCGAATCAATTAATTCATTTTAGCTTTTAACAAGTTATTTAAAGCATATTGCTAATAATTTATCTTACATAAATGCTTCCAATATCAAATAAGTAATGCATTAGAAAGGAGAATTTTTTAAAAAAGTAAATAAAAGTGTCCTTAGGATCCATATAACTTATTATTTCAATTATCTTTCCAATCATCTATTTGAAAACTGGTCTTAGTATCAAGTCATTTGACATGAAATGACAAGAAAATCTGGCAACCATTTCAAGTAAGAAAAACTTCAGAATCTTTTAAAATTAAAATTACAAGTGGTTATCTAAAATATTTAATTAGTATGATCATTTTTGGCATTTTTAGTAATGCCTACATGTCTAATTCTCTGTCTCAAGTAAAATATTAAATTTTATATCTAATTTTCATAAGTTAAAGATTTCCTGAAACAGACCAAAGGCTTCAGAAGTTAAGTACATTTCATTATGAGAGATATTTCTAAATTACAGAAAAGAATGCCGAACACAATACCAAATGTTATAATACTAATAAAAATGTGCATTTCCCATCCAGGGAGTATGAAACTTCAGAAGTTTATCAAGCATCTTAGGAAGCTGATGGCATTAAATTAAGTACAAGTACCACAGAGCTGCATTTTAAGTTGGGAAGTCTAGGGTCTTCCCTTATATTTAAAGTACCTCTGAACAATTTATTAAATGGTCCACCTAGTATATCATGTGTAGTTTTGCATACAAACCATGAATATCAAGTTCATAATTCACTGACTTAGACTACAGGCAAATTACATTGAAAATATCCTATGTACACAATCAATGACAGACTAATGTGAGCACAATTCTTTTCCAGAGAATAGGGATATCTTTGAAAACATACCCTAGAAACAAGTAAGAATTTTTATCAAAATATTTCCATATGATAAGAACTCATATAGTAATAAAAGCATTTCTGAAAAAATTTTTCAAAATGGGAATAATTTAATTCCTACTTACCTGTCATCTTTTGCAGTCTTGTCACATTCAATATCAAACTGCCACCTTTCAAGGACCTCACCACTTTCAATATTTGAGATGACTACTACCAGTTTCTGAACTGAACATTTGTATAACCAATCTGCAAAACATTACAGGACATCTTTTGTGGTCCACTGCATTGCAAAGCAATTCCCTTCTCAGGTCCCACATTTGATCTCTGCAAATTCCCACCACTCTTATTTACCACCTCCTTAAAGGCAAGAAGACTCACTGTGGTAGTCAAACTCTTGTTTTCAAGTTCTCAGTAATTGCACCACAGAAAATACTGGATAAGAACAGAGCAGTAAACATCCTTACACAAGGTAAGACTACAGGATCAGTCACTCATGAAATCATCACACTAATAAATGTAAGATTATAATTGTGATGGCTGCTGTGAGAGACACATGGTAAAACGAGGGCATAAAATAGAAAATGTGACCCACTCAAAGAGGTCAAAGGCTTTAGCTTAGCTCTAAGGATTAATGGCATTAAACTTACAAAAGGAAAAGAAAGAAGGTACAAGCTTTAAATACAAAAACATAGTGAACAGAGACTTTAAGCAGCCAGCACAAACTCCAAAAAGCAAAGAATGAATAGCACACTTCATGCAAAGTATTGTGGGCCAAATAACCTTATAAGAAGATAAACTAATAAAGGTGTGGTAGTAGATTAAAGAGATTTCAAGACTCAAATTGTTAAGATTTACTGGACTAGCTATGGAAACAAGGAAGGAGGAAAATTTGGGGGATGGTTCACAAGTTTCTGACATATTTTTGGTTGAACAGTTCAGGTATTCATTGAGAGGAGGGTGAGACAGTACCAATTTTAATGATGATCCTAAATTTAGCTTTTACTATGCTGAGTATAGAAGTATGCATTAGCCACATAAAGATTTGTAGGTCTGGAGTAATGTGAGACTTGGCTCAGATAAAATTTGTGAATTGGCCACATAAAGGATATAAAGCTATGTGTAAGTCACTGATAACCCAGAGACAGATCCAGAGAGAGACTATAAGGAGAGAAGAGGGCCTTTGGTTCAGCAATGAGTATTGGAATTTGAATGACATATTTGAGAAACAGCAAAGTTTTTTTTCTAAGTAGTGATAGAAAATAACTTTTTAATTTTTTTATTTGACAGGCAGAATTAGACAGTGAGAGAGACAGAGAGAAAGGTCTTCCTTCCGTTGGTTCACTCCCCAAATGGCCGCTACAGCCGGAGCTGCGCTGATCTGAAGCCAGGAGCCAGGTGCCTCTTCCTGGTCTCCCATGTGGATGCAGGAGCCTAAGCACTTGGGCCATCCTCCACTGCCCTCCTGGGCCACAGCAGAGAGCTAGACTGGAAGAGAAGCAACCGGGACTAGAACCCAGCCCATATGGGATGCCAGCACCGCAGGCGGAGGACTAACCAAGTGAGCCATGGCGCCGGCCCCAGAAAATAACTTTCTAACACTTAAAATTTTTAATATAAAAATCCTCTTAGCTTGTGTGCAGCATAAGAACAGGTCACCTATTGGATCAAGTCTGTGGGCCTTGCTAATGCCTGGCCCATATCAACAATTTTTTATTTTATCAAAGAGAAAACTGAGTGACAACCTGAAGAAGATTTGGGGTAGGTAGTAATTTGTTCTTTTTTTTAAAAGTGGAGAGATGAAAGAAATAGGAACAATTCAAATCAAAGCAGAAAATACAAGTGTAAAGAAATAGAATATAGTCTCTACAAAGGTCAGGAAGAAACTAGGATTCAAAACAAACTGAATAAATTACTTCTGTGGAAGAACAGTTCCTCAATTTTACTAAAATAAAAAGAAGAAATTAACTAGGACGCTACCGATACATGAGGTAAATTGTTACTGGTGTCAAAAGAGACAACCTACAAAAATAGTGATATAGGTGAGGCTTGCTTTCCCACAACAATTAACAGACTCAGATCCATGCCTAGGTATTATAGGCCAAATGACCTGACCACTGAGTGATTTAGCCTGAATTTTGGTTACAATTTTGGGAGGGGCAGTTTGATCTTATTGATGTTTCCTGCCAACACTTGAGAAGAGAAGTCTCATTCTGCTATTCTGACAACACTAATGTACTAGAGAAACTTATCAATCAACAGCAATTTTAGCCCCATGGCAATACACTGAGACATTTTTGGCTGCCACTGTAAAGGACGTTACTCACATCTGGTAGGTATAGGTCAACAAGGGACAATGTTGTTAAATATACAGGAAAGGACCTTACACCAAAAAAAAATAAAAAATAAAAAAAAATAAAAATTTAGCTCAAAACCTCAATAGCACCAAAGCTGGGAAACCTTGTTCTAGAGAATACATCCAATTAACCTCTATAAGTATTGAAGGATTTTAATATTGTATATATGAATGGCAGTTAAATATTTACATATTATCTAGGAGATAATGTAGCTTGAAAGAGAGATAACATGGTAACAAAATTCAGATGCCCATCAACAGGGCACTTTAAAAACAAAGTTCATGAAAATACAATGAAAATTATAAAGCATGAAGCTATAATTGAACTAAAAAATTTGAGAAAAAAAGGATTTCTGAATTTAAAAATTCCCTTCCCCTCAAAAAAAAATATTTAGTTACTGTAGCACTCTTTGGAAATAACATGGGAAGCCAAATTGAGAGAAACACACTACAACATAGAAAATTAGAAATAAAAACCCTAGGCAGAGAAACTAATAAGAGTTCCCGAAGTAGGTAAAAAACCAAACAAATGGAGATCAAGTTTTGATCCAACAAGGAATACAATTTCTTGAGCTAAAGGAAGTGTTCACACAGAGAAATTTGTGAATTTTTCTAACAAATGGAAGTGGTTGAAAAATAAGAAAACTCTACTGGATATCTATTGAGTAATTATTCTTTTTTCTATTTTTGAAGTTTACTTCCCTAGTTGCATTCATTTTTATTTTCCTTGATCTTAATCTAACAACTTTATAGACGCCAGTTACAGAAAACCAACATACCATATAAGAACATATACCGTACATTTTCTTAAATAGATAATGAATGCCATCGGGATCATGCAAAATTCCATGTTGTTCCCCTGGCCACATTACCTGCAAAAGCTATTTCAAAGGGATTTGATGCTAACTGTTTTGTTAAGGCTGTGTAAGGTTTCTGAAAATAAAATATCCAGCCCACTTAAAATGTAGTGTGTGTGTGTGGGGAGGGGGGTGGATAGGGTTTCTACCAATCTACTTCAATCACTATTATTTGCTTCCTCCCAATTGAGAATCACTATATTTGAGATGGTTGCTTTTTTTAAAAAATTAACACTTTGATATAGGAAGCTGAAAAAGGCCATTTAGCATGATAGAAAATGTAGCTCTAGGAATGCCTGCAACGCTGGAATTTTTTCCGATGATTAAATACCTTTTAGTTGTTCCACCACATTATTTAGGTATTTGATAAGCTCAGGATCAGTAGTTACAAGCAAGGTGAGTCCATACTTCTGCACTCGAGTAAAGGTTTCAGATGGATATATGCCACGCTGATACAAAATGCTGTTGATGCCAAATGCTGAAAGCAAAACAAACATGTAAGTTTTGTACCAATGGAAAATAAAGTATGTTTAAATGTGACTAGTTTCATTACTCTTAAAAAACTGAAAATGGTTACACACATTTATTATATCTCGTGGAAACCAAAGTAATCAGAGTGCCATCAACATCCTTTAATTCAGGTCTGCTTTATGGTGCAGGTTAACTCAGTGCCTGCGACGCAGGACATCCCATACTAGAGTGCTAGTCCAAGTCCTGTTCTACTTCCCAGCCTTCTTTCTGAGAATGTGCCCTGGGAAGGCAGTAAAAAATGACCCAAATGCCTGGGTCCTTGCTAGCTGTGGGAAACTAGGACGGAGTTTCAGGCTCCAGGCTTCAGCTTGGTCCAGGCCATTCAAAAAAATAAGTATTTTTAAAAATCCTTAAAATCTTGTTACCAAGAGACAACTAAACAAAAGAAAAATGCCAAACTGCCTTAACCTACCACTTCCCAATTTTACCGTATTGTAAGGCAAGCCCAAGTTCAGATTATGCGTTCAGAAGACGCCAAACTAGACTTTTGCGACCCAGAAAACACGTGAATGAGTTTCTGGTCCACTGCGTCCGGCAAGCCTCTCCCTCTTTTTCTTCCTCACTGTTCTTTGAGGAAGTACAGCTCCCACACCTGGGCTGAGGGTGGAGTCTAGGTGGAAACACACGCGCTCATTTGGTGTCCCAAGCCTCTAGGAGGAGGGCGGGGTGGGTGGTGAAATATGGGAGGAGAGAGTTGTGGGGGGGGGAGCATCAACATATTAAAGAAGCATTTCGCTCCGTTAGAGGCTAGGCCCGGAGGCAGGCCTCAGCGGCACCTAGGCCTCCCCCTGTAGCATCAGCATAGCGACCGCACAAGCGTCCGCATCTCCTCTCCCCACACTCCTCCCGGGCAGCAGAAGGCCTGCAGCGGCCAAGGCTTCACGGGTCCGCGAGGCCGAGCCGTAGGCCTCCCGCGCCGCCAGGCCTCAGGTATCCCCACCCTCCGCCGAGCGCCAGGAAGACTCACAGAAGAACTCGGCCACAATTTCGGCGCTCCCGCGCAGGGTGATACCCTGCTCCCGGGCCAGCTGTCGCGCCATGGCCAGACCCACGGACGCCAACGCGCGCTTCCGCTCCGCAGACCCAGACGGCGGCGGTCCACAGCAGTTCCCCGCCACCAGTTTCAAATGTAACGACGCAGCACGCAGTCGCGCCCTTTGCGTAAACGCGACGAGCCTCTAAGCCCCGCCCCTCGCGGCGGGGCCCTGCCCTTCCTCTCTCGCCTCCCCGCCTTCGCTGCGGGGGGGGGGGGGGCAAGGAGAAAGACAAGGCCGCTTTGCGCAGGCGCAGTTGGTGAACTTGGTCGCCAGGTTCCGAGTTTCTACGCTCTGATGTGGTGTTGGGAGATGTTCTCTGGCGTGGTCGCCCAGGTACTTGTTTGGCTGCGCAAAGAAGGTGGAAGGTCTGCGTTTAAATGGTCGCTTCGTAGACCTGTGACTTTAGTGACCAAGAGGCACACTTCCTAAATTTCAGAGATAACTGTCAAAACTGTTGTGAGCCGCCTGGCCGCTGCACCTGAAGCAACCCGCAGTGCACGCTTGGGGGATTTTTAAAGGAACAAAGTATGCAGCTGCCAAGTAGTTTAGGCAGGCCTGGTGTCTTTGTGGGAACGCGGCTTTTCCGGAGAGACGGAGTTAGAGATTAAAGCGACAAACCGCATCTTGCTTTTCTGTCCCCTGCCAAATCTGTCTGGAAGTATGGCCTTCCCTCACAGGGGCGGTTGAGACCTCCTCCAGGTTCTGTCCTTTCTATCCATCTTTAGGGGGCTGGCCTAAACCTCACAGAAGAGGCCCATCGACACTGAAGAATTAACTCACTGAATTTTCATTCGCAAATTCAATAGGATGAGAAGTGTTAAGGAGGTAGTGCACAAGTAGCATTGATGTCCATTGTGAAAGGATTCTTAAAGTATCTAGGGAGATCAAGTCTGAAATGTAAAATGAAGTCTGAAAAACTCTCCTATCTGCCAGACATATGCATACTGTTATTTAAGTATATGAGAAATGCTTGAGTGTGTGTTTTCTATTGCTTCGGAACAGAGTACCATAAATTGGTGGCTTAAATAAAAAAAAACACCAATTGTTATCTCAGTTATGTAGGTACTGAGCATGACGTAGGTTCGATGTCACACAAGGCTAAAATCAAAGGTCTGCAAATGTGGTCTCATTTGCTGTTTGGGGTCCCCTCCCAAACTCCCTGGTTGTTGGCTGGCAGAACTACATTGCTCGCCGTTGTTGGAGTGAGGTCCCTGTTTGTTGTCTTGCGTGTTTGCCACATGTCTTTTCCCATTTCCAGTCTCTGGTTTTCGGGAGACCCTGGATCTTTGGGAGAGCTCACCTGAGTAGGTCAGATCACCTCCCTATTGATTAACCTAATCACAGAAGTGATATTCCCCTTATAGTTTTAGGTTCTGCCCAAACTCAAGGCAAAGGGATTATATTGGATGTATCCCTTCAGGGGCTTGGAATTTGGGCCTCCATCTTAGCATTCTATTAGTGTTATGTATCAGATTTTGCACCATTTGAAGTTTAAACACGAACATAATCGGTAATAGGCTAATATAACCCAGTGAAATATTTTCCTCATATCCTTTATTGTGTGTATGTGTAGAAACTGCAATCTTTGATATTAGGAACAATAGGTGATGTGAGGGTAAGGAGAAAGAAACTTGGATGTTCTTCATCCCTTCTACTGGGAGCTTAAAAGTAGGGCTAGAATTTGCCATCAGACTAATAGTGTGGTGTCCACCTTTCTCTGTATAAAATTTGCCTCTCTTTCTAAGAAACTCCATGTTAAAACAGCATTCAGGAAAGAATTTCTTGGGTCTTGTAATAACATAGTTTGGAAGTTATTTAAAGATGCAAATAATTCTTAGGATCACTTGGAGATTCTAGAATTTAAAAGGCTGACAAAACACATCATTTTTCTACATATAAAGGATGCATTAAGTATCTGTACTTCTCTATAGGAAGATGTAAGAAGGTTTAGAAGGCATGGTCTATGCTTTTTGAGAACGATGTAATACTTTATTTACATATGTATTCTTATAAAAAGAAAACGGGGGCTGATATGGTGTAGTGGGTACCTTCTGTGATGCTAGCATCCCATTTGAGCACCGACACATATTCCGGCTGCTCCACTTCCAATTCAGCTCCTTGCTAATGGCCTGGTAAAGCAGTGGAAGATGAGCCCAAGTACATGGGCCCCTACCATCCATGTAGGAGACCCAGCAGAAGCCCCTGGCTACCGGCTTCAACCTTGCTGAGCCATGCCCATAGTGGCCATCTGGGGAGTGAACCAGTGATGGAAGCTCTCTCTCTTTCACTATCCTTGAATTTCAAATAAATAAATCTTTTTTTTTTTTTTAAAGGAAAGGAAAATTGGAGGTTCGTCTATTTGGCCTTATCTGGTTTCTGTACTATTTGGGCAGCCCCTTTCAAAATAATTTCCTACTCTGCTCCTTTTAGTAACTTGGTACTCCATGTTCTTTTCTATCTCAGGGCTTTCTGTCATGTGTTTCCTCTGCTTGTAAATATTCTCTGTTCAAATTCCCAATTATGTTTATACCACTTGTTAATATAAATGTCCTGTTAAATTTCCTTTGACTTGCTCATACTATTTGAGAATATGGATCTGCTCTTAAGTATTCTCATGGCATCTCATAGCACTACTTCAGAGCATGGCTTTTATTATTGATAATTACGTAATGGTTTCTGGTAGACCTTTCGAGTTTTCTTGTGTCAAAATACCAAGGTAAGATAAATCTAAGTGTTTATTGTCGTATGAATGGTATAGTTTTCCATTCCAGGAGACTTAAAGTGTTAAGAAGTTTGCCATACAACAGTTCTCTCACAGTTTGTAAAGCATAAAGTGGAAAATATTTGCTCTTTTTCATGATTGGCTGCTATACATTAAGCTTTCTTTCTATTTTATTCCTCCCTCCCTCCCTCCCTTCTTCCCTCCCTCCCTCTTTCTTTCTTTCTTTCTTTCTTTCTTTCTTTCTTTCTTTCTTTCTCTCTCTCTCTCTCTCTCTCTCTCTCTCTCTCAAAATCAGAGTTACAGAGACAGGGAGAAAGAGCAGAGAGATATGGAGAGACAGAGAGAGAGAAAGAGATCTTTCATCTGCTATTTCACCCCACAAATGGCCACAAAGGCTGGACCTGGACCAGGCCGAAGCCAGAAGCCCAGAGCTTCCTTTTGGTCTCCCATGTCAGTGGCAGAGGCCCAAGCACTCCAACAGTCTTCCACTGCTTTTCCCAGGCCATTAGCAAGGAGATGGATAAGAAGTTGAGCAGCCAGAATGTGAATGGGCACCCATGTGGAATGGCAGCAGCTGTAACTGCTATGCCAAAATGCCAGCACCCAAGATTTTAAGGTGAACATCTATTTAAGCTAATTTGTGTAGATCTGACCAGCTTAATTCCTCTGAATCACGCTGTCAAGATAATAAAGCTTAGGTTTTGTATTTATGATTAGAGCTTGTGTTTTAGGATGACGCGTTTTGGTTATGTGATTATAGGCAGCTCTTCTTGGTGACCTCCATTTTTATTTTTCTTTAAGACACATAGATTTGTTATTTCACTAATTGGGTTCTGTACAAATATTTGTTGACTGAATGATCACTTGAATATTTACCTACTAAAACTTCATGGAAGAAACCAAAATGCTTTCTAAATGGAAAGTAGATTGGATGTATTAATGGGGCCACCTTTTGGAAGTTTTGAGAATCCATCACAGCTAATTGAAGAAGAGGTCCTGTTGTGGTGTTGTTGAGTTGAGAGATCATTAGACATCTGCATCAGAAACAAGAACTTGATGCAAGGAAGAATTCCAGGATGAGACATGGGTAAAGATTAGCAGAAGAATAAGAATGAATTGTGTGCAAAGCAAAAGTACACATCTAGAGAGGGACTGTGAACTTGCTCAACACTGAGCTGCACTCAACAATTTTCAAGATCTTCCCTCTGTCTGATCTAGTGACATAGAGGGTGGTGTCTGGGGGAAGTTTAATTGAATTTGGGGTAGGGTTTGAGTATCATGTGTTTTGTTGTCTTTTTTTTTTTTTTTTAATGTTGGAAGCATCATGGCATCAGATACATGATGGAAGTTGGAGTTGGAGTGTCCGTCATGATAATTTTATTATGATGATACTATAAATAGCTAAAGATCACTGTGGGTATTGCAGTTGTCAGCCATGTTGGAAAATTAGTGCTTTTCCTCGGCACGAAAAGGAGAGGGTACCAGGATGGGTTGTATACAGGGTATTCTGAAATAGTGATCCTCAGACTTGCATATGTAGAAGGATTACTTGGATTGACTATGCAAATTCCTAACTCTTGTTCTGTCTTCCCCAGAATGGATTCAATTCAATTTGATAATCATTCACTCAGTTCTTAGCACTTGAAATATACTAGTCTAAACTGATATAAGCTGCAAATGTGAAATATCTAATTTTAAAGACAACGTGAGAAAATGAATGTAAAATAATACATTATTAGGCTTCTAATTGAATAAATATGAAAAAGACATTTTACCTGCATTAAATAAATTATTGCAGGTAGGTAATAATAGAAAAATCATTATTATTGTTATTAAATGATCTCCCATTGTTTCTTTTTTTAGTATTTTGAATGTGATTACCAGGATATTTAAAATTAGCTATGTGACTCATGCTATATTTCTCTCAGATAGTACTGTTATGCAGTATGGAATATAGGGAATGACATGTTTTATCCAGCATTCCAAATGCCTATGAAAACCACTCTTTGATGGTTCCTTGAGTATGTAGGATGAGAAAATGGAGAGTTTGAATGAAATGAATGACAGAGAGATTAAAAGAAGGGATACATCATATAAAGATATTTTGAAACAAGAATCAGATTTATGACTGATATTGAATAAGAATGAAATAGCAATACAGATATGGCCAAGGTATCAAGTCTGCAATACAAGGTAGTACTGGTCCACACTATGATAGGAAGAGTTTTCATATTCAGCTTGTTCTAGTTCTTAGTTAAAACAGTAACACTTAAGGTTCTAGAAACTTTGGTTTTACTTCTTTCCCATTAACTTTTGGTCATTTGGTTTGACATTGACCCCATCTAACCAAAATCACACTTAAATTTACAGAATGTTTCTTAAAAATTTGTTTTTAGTTAC